AAAAAAAACAAAAAAACAGAAATTAAGATGCAGAAAATAGGTCATTTTTTCAATTTTAATGCAATAATAAATAATGCTTATAATAGCACAGTCAATCAAAAATAAATTTAAATCATGCAAAACAGCTAACATGGTCAATAACAGGAGCGGATCCAGAGATATCTTCTGGCAGTATTCCAAGTTATCTTTGTTGATCAATCCCCCATTTCTGATGGTCTTCCAACAGAATAAAATAGATATACGTCAATGTAAACTTAAAAATCTGACAAGTGAATTTTATGTAATCTCATTAAATGGCCACTTGAAACTTAATTAGGCAAGTGACTTTATAGCTCTGAACTTAGCTAGTGATAAGCTAGGGGAAAATTACAAACTAACCACCCAAATGTGACTAGCACTTATATAAAAAGGCATAACTTAACCAATCAAGCTTATTTTCTGTATTTTAGTAACACTGATTACTCCTGTGAATTTCAAGACAATTGGCCAATCGATTTTCCTTGAAATGTGTTATAGGCGTTGCATATTTGCTGAAAAAAGTGACAAAATGACATAACTTTCATAAAAATGGCCTGATCATGCCAATTTTCAAACTTGACCTGTGTATTATGAATATTTATCAGTTCTTTAAGTTTCAATCCAAAAGGAAAAACGGTTATCAGTGTTGCATAAATCCTGAAAAAGTTGAAAAAACAGCAAAAATTCCATAAAAATGGCATAAAAGCTGATTTTTGAACTTGACCTGTGTATTATGAATTATCATTCGTTCTGTAAGTTTCAAGACAAAAGGTAAAACGGTTTTCCACCTGTTATGTTTTCAGTGTTGCATAAATGCTAAAAAAAAGTGAATAAAACAGCATAACTTCCATAAAAATGGCCCGATCATGCTGATTTTCAAACTTGACTTGTGTATTATGAACATTCATCAGTTCTGCAAGTTTCTAGTCAAAAGGTTAAATGGTGTTCCACTTATCGAGTTAAAGTGAAAGTGCAAGGCGATGACGACGATGACGAAGACTTAAAATATGCTCTTGGATTTTGCCTTTGACCTTTATGTCAACAATGCATCAGAATTTTCCAAACATTATTTGGTGTAATTTTTATGTACAGACACTGATGATTTTCAATAGCAACCTGCATTTAAGGTTCCAAAATAAGACAGTACTCAGTTTCGGCATCTTATGGCTACTGACAATGCACCTGTTGACCCCAAGACAAACCAAAGTGTAACACCTGCCCATAATATTATAGGTTATGTCTGTGTAGGTTCTGAAAATCAGCACAAACTTTTTTTTGCAAAAAATTGCCATTTTTAGAAAATTTTGGCCTGTTTGACCTTGACATAAGCATCAAAGGTAAAATCCAAGGCCAAATTTGAAGTCTCCACATGACTTTTGCTCAGCCATCTGTAGTAATTTTTTCCCATAATTGCGAGATATTTAGCATTTAATTTTGCAAATTTTGGACAAGGGTGCACTGTGAGGACTGCCATTCCTAGACCAGTTCAGTGACAGAGCCCAAAATTTATATGGTACAAGTTGAGATTATGTGTGACCTAAATCCAAAATATGGGTACACAGGCCTTTGTAGTCTAGGAGAAGCGGTAATGGTGAAATGTTGGCAGATATGGCAGATGAGATGGGTCTGGACTGACACCATATGTACCACCAGAGCCATGGTACAATAATATTTAATAACTGCATATGCCAAAGCAAGAATTTCAATGGAAAGGGCATTTCCAACTTAATGTATTTACAACAAAGATTTAGCCATGCCCATTGGAATTTTTATGTTAACTTACAAACCTTCTGGAGCTGCCTCTGGAATATCTGCTCGAACTTTTACCACATCTTATCCTGCAAAACAGATGCAGTCTTAATCTGTGTCACACACTAAAATTGCTCAAGTGTAAAAATGAAAAAAGTCACAAAAATTTTGTTGTGTTTACATGTAACTGCACAAAATGGGGTTTTTGTCAGTTTTGATGCAATAAAATCTAAATTATTTACAGCATAATCACCACTAATTTTTAAAGTGCCTCTTATTGACTTAGATAATAATATTGTATAAAAGAGAATATTTTTCAAAACTTTATCTGTTTTTTCATGAATACCAGAGCATACCTTCAATGAGTAAGTTGAGAAACTAAAGATCAAATTAAAGGTTTTTAAGAGCATTTTTTCCATCTGGGTTTTTTCACCAATTCTGTCACAGGGGCCACTAGTGACAGCAAGTGACACAGTGGCTATGATATGTTTTCCAGATATCAACTACAAACTGACTGATCTTTACATTTATTTGTCTGACTGAGAGATCTGGAGTCTCTTAAGACAGCATGGACAATCCAGGTTTGACTGAGCACACTTACTCTGATGATCTGTGATGACAATACAAATATTCTCTATACAAATAGCTTCCTTCGCACAGCCAGTTGCCATATGACTGATTTAAACTTAATCAAGGAGATGACGCCATGAATAAAGTTATTTAATCCTTTTGAAATTGATAATATCCTTTAAAACTTGGTTACACTTCTTTCCAATGAATAAAATACTTTATCTAATATTGCCATTCCTGCAACACTGATATAATTTGATTTAAGTCTGGAAGTTTCTAAAAAGAAATTTGGCAGGGAAATCACCACTATGTAAATTCTGTGTCGCATGTGGAATTCTGGGACTTCTCCCAATTTACATATGAATAAATAGTACTATAATACTACTATGTTGTGATGAAACCGGGCTCTGGATGTTCTATTGTAATTTAACCTAGATACAAGGTAGTCCAAGCGCACAAAGTTTGAAAAAGACAAAAGAAAAACTCCAAACACAAATGAAAAAGGGAAGAAAAAGAGAAAGGAGAAGAGAAGGAGAAGAAAAGAGAAGCATGCAGAGAAAGTGTTCAAAATGACAAAACTTTCAAATGAATTCATTTAAAAGCAGGAAAAGTAGGACATTTTCTTTCAAAGTAGGAGGGTCCTACCCAAAAAGTAGGAACAGTAGGTCTGGGATCCTTGAAATCATACATTCAAGATAACCTAGCCAAAACCCACCCCAAAAAATATCAGTTAAAAATATACTTCCCATATAAAAAAAGATAATTAACATTTGATTTTGAAAAAAAAAAAAAAAGATTTCCAGTGCCAAACGTACAGGAAAGCAATAACTGACCACGAAATCTAGCTAGCTAGAGTAGAGCCATCACCTGAGCTTGATATAACTGAACTCTCTTCTGAATGTGCCCTTGGTTTCCTTGACCAAGATCTTTTTTTTTTTTTGAAGATGACCTCGACTTCCTTGACCTAGATCTCTCTTCTGAAGGTGACCTCGCCTTCCTTGACCTAGATATCTCTTCTGAAGGTGACCTCAACTTCCTTGACCTAGATCTCTCTTCTGAAGGTGACCTCGACTTCCTTGACCTAGCTCTCTCTTCTGAAGGTGACCTCGACTTCCTTGACCTAGATCTCTCTTCTGAAGGTGACCTTGACTTCCTTGACCAAGATCTCTCTTCTGAAGGTGACCTTGACCTCCTTGACCTAGATCTCGCTTCTGAAGGTGACCTTAATTTTTTTGATCTAGGTCTCTCTTTTGAAGAGGACCTTGATTTCCTTGACCTAAATCTCTCTTTTGAAGGGGACCTTGATCTCCTTGACCTAGATTTCTCTTTTAAAGGGGCCCTTGATTTTCTTGACAAAATTCTCTCTTTTGAAGATGACCTTGAAACTGTCGGATGCATCTCTATGCTGTGCTTTATCTTGAGCTTGTTGTTGTTAGACCTGAGACAAGAACCATGCATGTCAAAGATTTATCATACATGTATATCAATATTTAGAATTAATCAAAATTGGTAAATAAAATTAATTTATAACAGTAAATATGACTCAAAAATCAATAATTAAAAACAATGACAGTAAGAAAACTTACATCACTGATGACATGAAATCATCAGCTGAGAAGAATAAGGCAATACATGTGTTTCAAATTGAGAAAATAACTTAGCTCAGAAACCATATTTTGTTATCCAAAATAAGTAAATTAAATCATAAGATACGTAGTAAAAGGTGCTTACTTTTCTGTCTTTTTGTGTTTCTTGTGCTTCTTTTCTTTGTGGTTACTAGAAAACAATAACAAATAACCAATATATCAGCTAGAAAATTAAACCTGCAACTATACAAACACTAACATTAGTGGACTTGAAATGGTCCCAATTTGCTATTTCAGATCACAAACAATCTTACATGGTCTTAATCATTATACAAATGGTCTTTCTGTTGACTGGCCCTGCTTTTAAAATCAAAAGTAATCAGATTTAAAGTTAAGTGGTCATGGAATTACAATGGGGGATACTTCCATTAGCAATGGGGAAGACCTCTCCTCACAATAGGGGAATGTGTGAGGTGAGACAATGGGGTATACCAGCTCCAGGAGTTTGCCACTATATGGAGTGGAAACACCAACAGCCCTACTTAAATCTTGCATAATCTTGCTTGCGATTTCACACCCTACTGTAACATGGATTGTAAACGCACAACGCTGACTGCACACTAACTACGGTAAAAACTTGAAAATTTCATCGGTCTTGTAAATTTTGTCGGAAGACGATTTTCTGCCGATGTAATTTTTTTCACTTTGAAAATTTCAACGAGCTTGAAAAAGAGCCTCTTGAAAATTTCTGAAAAGCTTGTCACCTAATATGGTCGCGTTGTCCAGCTCAAACAATAATAAGATCAGGATAACACTCTCAATAGAAGATAGGAACAATAGTGTGCCCCTGCGAGTGGCTACTAACAGTATAGATGGTTTAGATGTGAATTTCCATTCTCAACTGCGGGAACGTTGGCCATTTGTCTTTAGTTTCATTACTATTACCTGGCTCAAGGTACATTTTCAAGCCAGTAAATAGAAGTCACAGGCCGCGTCTCTTTGTCAGTTGTAGTGCTGTTATTATTATCAATGGCTGTCCTAAATGAGGAAGACACAATGAAAAAAATCAAGATATTATCTCAAAGGGAAATGTACCTGTCACTTCTATTCATGTCCATTGCGCCATTTAAGACCATTTAACGATTACCTAGCTCATACATGGAGATCGTTTGCGATCCCATTGGGATGACAAGGCAATTTTCATATCTTTAGCAGAGGATCATGCGAGTAATATCGCCAGCAGATCATTTGCGATCCGAGCTAGACGAGAAGGCAATTTTCATATTTGCAGTGGACTCTGTTCGCGAAATCGTACACTGTCGCTGTTCTTCAGAGCCATTGTTGAAGCCCATTTCACAGTGACTCTGACACTCAGGGCAGTAATATGAAGCAATCTACTTAGTTTGAGGATATGCGAAGTTTGTATTTTCCATTTATTTTGTTAACAGTGAAACAATGTCAGCAACAGATATGTGTTGGCTATATGACAGACACTGTGTATATACTTAAAAAGAGTTCTCCCTAAGAGTAAAAAGCAAAATTGCAACACTGCTCTACAGTTACCAGAGTAGCAAGAAATATGCAACAGTACTAGTGTTGCTCTTGCTCCGACAAGGCATGCAGGCAAATGAAATATAAAAATGTATAGACACCTTGTTTCCTCCTCACTTATTTCATCTCTCTTNAAATTATGTACTGCAGGTAACAAAGATATCTAGAAAACGTGACTATCAAAATACCTACATTATTTACATAATCATAACTCTACATACATTGTATATTTTTTTTGTAAATTATGTACTGCAGGTAACAAAGATATCTAGAAAACGTGACTATCAAAATACCTGCATTATTTACATAATCATAACGCTACATACATTGTATATTTTTTTGTATATTTCTGTATTCTGTTTTTTTTTTACATACATAAATATATATATATTTCTGTATTTCACTTTTTCTAAAATAACAATACTATCAGTTATTTGGAACTTCAGAGTACTGAACTATTATGGTAATCGGTTTAATCAATTAAATAAAAAATTGGGAGTTGCAGATAGGCAAAATACTGAAGGTTTATGAAAGGTCAAAGCTGTTGTGACATAACACCCCCGAAGACCTTTTCAAGAGGTTCAAAGTAAAACTAGGGCTTAATTTTTCACTTTAAGTTCTTTTGTTCACAAAATACATCTACAGGGTTCCTATTACCTGTCACCTTCTTTGGGTGGGCTGCCTCTGAACAGAAATCTGGATACTGGGACATCTGGAATCTCCTCTGGTCTTACAGTGGAAAAAATCTGGCTTTCTGGCATTTCTCTTTCAGCACTGATGGCAAAATTTAAACAATTAATGGAGCAAGGTACTCCTCAAACGTCATTAAGTGGACATGGAATCAACACAGCAAAGCTGGAAAGTATACAGACAAAAAGCAAAAAAAAAAATCTAGATAATGAGGATGAGAGCAGAAAAGACGATGATGGCAACGACAATGACAGATGCAGGTGATGGCTATATGTACAAACACATCTGTGTCTGTAGATAAAATGATATTATTGACAACTAGGAGGCCATTCCCATAAACATATCATACTAGCTATATCAATCTGACTCCTCTGGAAATCTCACTAAATTGCATTCAGATTAAGCGGCTTAAATGTCCGGCACAGCCCCTCACAACTTAAAAGTACTTGGGTAAAGTTGGGAAAACTTTGTGGTCCACGATGTTGTTCATGTTGGTTTGCCAGACAATTAAGCTGATTAGATTGTCTGCACCTTAGTGAGGATCCCCACTGAGACAGATTGACCCTGCTAGTATGATAAGGTTATGGGAACACAGTCTAGGGTTTGAATTACAGCCTGGCGCCTGTACTTGGTTTTAGATCTTTTTGTTTAGAATATGTGAGTCCATTTTCCTGATGCTCCCTTAAAGAAGGGCATTATTCTGCCTCTTTACTCATAAAATCAGAACTAAGCCTTAGCTAGCATCAAGTTTTAGAATTCATTGTTGTGATTAAATAGGCAGGAAAATGGTGATGATAGCTGTGTTGAGGAAGATATGTTTGCAAGTGAACAGTTTTAATTCCAAATATGCTTCTGTGTCATCAACATTATTCCAGAACATATTTTTTATTTCTGCATTATCTAAGTGGAAAAAAAAAACCCTACCAAATGGTTAAATGAACAATTATTGGTTATAACAAAATCCTTGGGAAAAAAACATTTTAATATATGCTTACACGGAAACACACACATTTAGTATAACTAAAAATTGAAAGAAAAACTTACTTCTTAATTTTCTTTTTTTCTTTTCTCCTCTTCTTTGCTTTTTTCTTTTTGTCCTTTTTTTTTTTTCTATATTTTTCTGATCATCCTCAGATTCACTTCCTGATTCACTGGAACTACTTGCATATTCAGATTCTGAAGATTTGGTATCTTTTTTCTTCTTGGCTACAAGAGTAAATTATAGTGCTTTCAACACTTTCACACAATAAAATATTTCTGTCAGGCCTTAGTCATATGTCTGGTGACCTGCCACTCAAGACTAAGGCATACATCCATATCTACATATGGTATGTTATTTGTCATAATTTGATATCAGAAGAGACATTCTGATATCAAACATTTTTCTGACAGAAACCATCATGATTTCACAATTTTCTGTCCCTGCATCATTACTATTTTCTTATATGTATATATTTTAATTACTATTTTCATATATAAATATAGCGAAAAACTGAAAATTGAAATGAGAATGCACAGTGCGCATGCGCGTCAGGTTTTGAAGCATTTCTGCATGATTTCTTCAGAAGTTTTTATTAAACTTCATTTTTTGATAATAATCCACATCACTATTATCATAAGTTTATGTAATAAGGAAGGGTGGGAGAGGCATTTCATCTCCTCACCCATAGTTGTCTCATAGAATAAAGGGAACCGGAGAAGATCAGCATTGGTCAGAATTGTGCCGGAAGTGACGTGCAGTGGTGTTAGAAACGAAGCTGAGTGGTCATTTTAACATAGAGGTGAACGGCAGTGAAGACGGGTTGTCGGAGGAAAAAGAAGTTTTCTAAACAACATGGTAAGATAACACTTTTTCTTTACGCATTTTGGGCAGAGAAAACTTGTAGAAATAATAAATGCATGATATGAAAACGTGACACGGAACTTGAAGGTGCAAAATCGTGCTTAATTGGCGGTCAACTTGTTT